GACATCCCAGTGATTTCTTAGGACAATAACACTCGAGTGCCACGATTTCTTTCTGAGCGCATTTGTCCCTGAAAATGAAACGCCTTTCAAGTGGCTCTTTATCATCCGGGCATTTGGGATTTGTTGGATCCTTTTTAAAAATATCTTCCAAACATAGCCAACAAAATCTGCAAGACGAGAGATGTGTTAGTACTATGTTAATGTTTAGTTAGATTTACTTTAGACTGTTCACAGCGTCTCTCTTTTTAAACGTACGCGGAGGAAAAGCGAGCGAAGCACGTGGGGTTGGCGGTGGGTGAGCGAGCAAAACGAAATAGGGAATGTTTTTCTCGGTCCTCACCCTCTGAAGTCCAGTTCTATCACGATTCTACCCGCGCGTTCAACGATTTAATAAAAACACGAGAAAGTAGAGGCCTGTTAACAGTCTACATTTACTGACGCAAAACTATACGTGTTAAGGAAGAAGAAAAACATCTAGAAAGCGTCACACACCCCAAGAAACAGAAACAAATATAAGGAATTTACAGAACGAAGATACCAAGCAGTTTTTCGAAGCAAAATGGAAGTTTTGATTTGTCGTATTTTCAGCCGAACGGCGATATTGCCAAGTTCTTTTTTGTGATTATTAGCATTTTGATTAAATTGTATGGCCAAGCGTATTTTACAACTAAGTATTCCACTCCCCCTTCCCCCGTTCGTGACACATCTTTGGCACATCGTTCCCTTTGATTCTGAACTCCTTTCAGTCTGCTACTGAAGTACAGTGATTGAAGCCTCGTTATGAAGCCCAGGATGTTGGTGGCTGGCCAGGATTTACGGCGCGCAGTTCCTTCCTTGTCCTTTGTAAGCGAGACTTCTTCTTCAACGCCTTTGAAAACATCATCTGCAACCATTCCCTTGAGGCGCCTGTACCGCATAATCGACGAGGGCCTGGCACGAGGAAATGGAAGATGATTTGACCGGCTAGTTCCAGTGCTAAGATTTTCACCAATTCAAAAGGTCTTCTTTCCTTAAATATCCTCCGGTTGATCTTAATTGTTCGATCAAATCACCTAGTTACAGACCTTCAGGAAGTTGTATAAGAACTTCGTTCTCGTCAGTGGATATTTTCGGAAAGGCGAGTGAAAGTCAAATGAGAATCTAGCCAATCAATTCAGTAATGTGTCTCCCTTGGAGCTCCGTTTCCTTGTGTCCAGGCCTCACCGGCTAAAGAGGAACAGGCGCTCTTGGGACGAGAATGTAAACTGAAGAATCCTCGTCAACGTGTTCGTCAAAAATTAGGAGTAAAGTGAAAGCTTGAAGAGTGAAACAAATCACTGTTAATAAGCTCTGTATACACGAACGTATAAGCTTGGCCAATTAATAAAACTTGCCAGTGCGTGGCTCAACAAGGAAAACTTTCGCTGGAGTTTTGGGAAATTCCGGATTACATCGTAGTATTGCGCCTTCCAAGAAAAACTTGGCAAGATAACTTTCAGTATTGTACCCAAGCAAATAAAACTTTTGAAAGAAACCTTACAAAGAGAGTGAAAGGATTACACAAACTCCCCGGACAAGCTCTTCGTTCACACAGTAAAACAAAACTGTCAAAGATCGGTGAAAGATATTTTGTTGCACATGAAGCAGCAGTTCTGCATCAGTAGTTCTGGCTGTTTTGTACCAGCATGCATTCACTGAGTGTTGTACATATGAAGTCACTTTTGTAAAAGACATACTTTTACTGTCTGTCTGACATAGCATCTTATCAGCACATGATGTAATTTCTACGGAGTGTGGGTGTATTATCTCTCATGATAAAAAGTCGTAACGTCACTGCACCAAAGAAGATATTGTATTCAAAGCGATGATTTCACATATTTAATCATTTCACTTATTTGAAATAATATAATTCAACTAGACGGGTTTCACGCAAACTGGTGGCGATATATATGTTGCGATGAATATTGATCAACTCTCTATATATGGGATTTATTTTATTTCGATATGAGTCTTTTAACCGGAATTTGCGCTAAGTGCACAGAAATTTGCGCTGCGACCGAGTAAAGAACATATTGTGCAATACTTCAATTTGCTTTGCGGGCAGTTTACAGTTTGTCGGCCATAACTGATTCCAATTTTTTTTCACTCGTTTTGCCAAATTTCAATAAAACCTTTAGGTGAATCCTCGATTTCAGCCCCTCACTAAAAGTTGACTTCTTCGTCTCATTCGACAAATCATTGCGAAACTTTGCCAAGGTTGGTGTAGTAAATATTAGCCGACACTTGGTACATGAAATTATGGTAATTATGGATAACAAAATTAAAGTTCGTCGACGTTCGAAGGTTTGCCTTTGCATTGTTACTCTTCAAGAAGTTTTCTTCAGAAATCATGTTGTTACATGTATAGAGCATCGCTGGCCATCGTACGGGGAAATACCCAAATTACTTCGTAACTCGTGACGCCAACATGACAGTTTTGGATCACAATTGCTCTTCGATTCAAGCAACGGAATGTTATAAAATGATTAGAAGAACTATCTATTGAATACAGATCGGTTATACTGCGTATGGTACTTTCGCTCTGTACTTACCGATGACCACACGACGACTGAGCAGGGTCGAACAAGACTTGATGACAATCTATACATTTGTAACGCTCTTCGAGTTGTCCATCGACAAATTCGACAGCAGAATAAGACGAAGCCATCTTCTAGCAACCTCGGTAAAAGTTTACCCACTTCCGCTAGCCTGCGCCAGCCTTGTCGAAAGTAAAAGTGCTGAGATATGTCGAGCAGTTCCGTTGAAAGTTCAAGAAAGTGCTTACGTTGCAAGAGATTAGAGAGGGGGAATCCCCGACATGAAACGACCAACGAGAGACGGCAACGCCTGACGTCACATGAATCGACGCTGACTCGTCCTCAGTCTCCACAGAGATGAGGGAAAAGAGAGAATGGAATAACTGTAGCGTTGCACTTTCGTCCTGCGTGGCAGACATGTCTAACACCTTTTGACCAATTGTATGTGTTGT